CAGAGAGAGACAGAGAGAGAGACAGAGAGAGAGAGAGACAGAGAGAGACAGAGAGAGAGACAGAGAGAGAGAGAGACAGAGAGAGACAGAGAGAGACAGAGAGAGAGACAGAGAGAGACAGAGACAGAGAGACAGACAGAGAGAGACAGAGACAGAGAGACAGACAGAGAGAGACAGAGACAGAGAGAGAGAGAGAGACAGAGAGAGACAGAGAGACAGAGACAGAGAGAGACAGAGACAGAGAGACAGACAGAGAGAGACAGAGAGAGAGAGAGAGAGACAGAGAGAAAGAGACAGAGAGAGAGAGACAGACAGAGAGAGACAGAGACAGAGAGAGAGAGACAGAGACAGACAGAGAGAGAGACAGAGAGAGAGAGAGACAGAGAGAGACAGAGAGAGACAGAGAGAGAGACAGAGGGAGAGAGACAGAGAGAGACAGAGAGACAGAGACAGAGAGACAGAGAAGGAGCCTGAGCCGCCCATCAGTCCTCAGGTCTGGAGGTGGCTGATGAAGAAGAGAAGGAACAGCTGGGTCCAGTGCCTGACGCGCAGATGCACAGAAGGCAGAGGAGAGGAGAGCAATGGAAATCTATGGGCCAGTCCTTGGGACGGAAGAGCCACTGCTGCTAGCAAAACCCCACCCTAGCTCTATAGAGGTGGCAGACAACTACTCATCTCCCCTGGTGGACAGACTTGTGTTTCTGGCACTCTTAATAAAGGAATCTTTTGAGTTCACTTCAGAGGGTTTGGTCGTGTTTGGGGAGCTGGGTCAGAACAGTGCAGTTCAGATTAAATTGCAGGAAACATGGCTTGGAGAGGGCGAAAAGAATCCTGGCCCAGCTGGGGACAATCAATGCTTTTTCTTCTGGCTGACGTCTCTTTTTTAACCGCACGAGCCCATCCGTGTGAATTGCTTGCGAATGCCCGTTGGCCTTGATTTTGCTCGCTTGCCTTGCAGCTGATAGAGGACTTGAGGAAACAGCTGGAACACCTGCAGCTCTTTAAGCTAGAAGCCGAGCAGCGGCGAGGGCGGAGCAGTAGCATCGGCCTGCAGGAATACAACAGCCGGGCGCGAGAGAACGAACTGGAACAAGAGATCAGGCGGCTCAAGCAGGTAGACGAAATCTTTGACATGGGACAGTTGACGAACTTTCCGCTTGCGGTAGCATTGTGGAGGATTTCTTAGGGCAGGGGTGTCAAACTCGATTTCATTGAGGGCTGTATCAGGGTTGTGTTTGACCTTTGGGGAGGTGCATGGAGGGGCCAGGATGGGGTGGGCATGGCCCTCTGCCAGTGAAAATGGAGCTTTGGGGGGGGGCATGCATGGCCTTCCTGAAGGGACACCTTCCTGACGCGCTCTTGCCAGTGAAAACGAGGTAAAAAGAATCTGTTTTTGCTGGCAGAGGGCTGCAGGAGGCCGTCCCGGCTGAAAATGGAACCTGGGAAGGCTGCGTACAGCCCTCCCGAGCTCCATTTTTGCTCGCAGGGGCATTGCAGGCTGATCCTTCGCTGTTTCCAGGGCAGCACCATGGGCTACATCTAAGCACCCCGTGAGCCGGTTCCGGCCCCCTGTGCCTTGAGTTTGACACCCCTGTCTTAGGGGATGGAGAGAAGCTATGTGGGGCTCTGAGGCTCCGTGGGGTAGTTATCTGTGATCTTTGGGGGAATGAGGTGTGGGCACCCCGTTAAAGCAGTGTTTCTCAACCTTACCAACTTTAAGATATATGAACTTCAACTCCTAGAATTCTCCAACTAGCTGGAGCCTAAAGAAGATTCCATGTAGGCAGTTGGATGGCCTGAGGGAGGGGTCAAATGCATCCTAAGTCATGAGTCCCTGCACACCCACAAGAGATCAGAGTCCAGCCCACCTTGAATGCGCCTCTTTTCTCCCACTCATTTCCCTTAACTGCCAGTTAGTTGCGAAATCTTGTCCGACCCATCACGACCCCATGGACAACATCCTTTCAGGCCTTCCTGTCCTCTACCATCCTCTGGAGTCCATTTAAGCTCACGCCAACTGCTTCAGTGACTCCATCCAGCCA